TGTATGTATTTTTTATTATTAAACAAAATCTAATTTTATGTACTTATTCATGCAACCTGTTACATTTGCTTTTTATTCTTTTTCTTTATATCATCATTTAATATCTTTTTGCTGGGAATATTTTTATGATTTAAAAAAGAATAGTTTCTATACGTGAATACATACCGGCCCTCTACTCTTGTCTTCCGGGAATACCCATCTGCTAGAACGACTAAACCAATCCCTGGTGGAGACGCCTGCTTAGATAGGCTTATGCTTGTTTAACGCCCACGGAGGGCAGAGTTTCTGGGAGAGAGCGCATGATCAGTGGTAGTACGCGGTCTCGATCATTTGTGACTTCGAGCCAGCGCAAGTATTTCACCCACGAGGCTTGGGTGAACCTGTGATATGGTTTCCAGAACATTTCCACACGTACCGCACACCAGGACCCACAGAATGAGAACGCCAAAGTCACTTTCCTAGATAAATCTATCATGGTGAGATTCGAACCCGAGTTCTAACCACTCGGCCAAATAAATACATACATATGTAATATTCTTATATATATATATATATATATATATATATATATATATATATATATATGTCCTCATTCAACCCAAAAATTAAAAAAAAACCCGACCCGGTGTCAACCCAAAATATAAATAAAAATAAATATCATATTTCCAGCACTTGAAATATGCTTCGGCATGAAACTCAGAGTTGTGCAATTAATGTAAGATATTTTGTATATTTCTTAATATATTACAATGAATCATTCATACAAAGATAAATTACTAAAGTTAATGTTATAAAATGGCATAATCCCTCCGCTAACAAAATTTTAAAGGAGCATTAACCTACTAATCACTCGATGAATGTTATAATCCTTGTTTTTTAAATTTATAAGCCGTATAAGGTCTTTCTTAAATACGCAAGTACATATTCTTTATATATATATATATATATATATATATATATATATAGAGAGAGAGAGATACATATATATATATATATATATATATATATATATATATATATCTTAATATTCTAAATAAATATATATATATCACATATATATTATATATATATATTACATATATATATACATATTCTTAATATATATATATGTATTTCTTTATATATATATATATATATATATATATATATATATATATTTGAATAACTCTGTTTCTTAACATTGAGCACTGTTTTTCATACACTATAGAGTATTTATATGTATTTGTATGCGATTGTATACCTACCTATATTTATCCATTCGGTTATATATATATATATATATATATATATATATATATATATATATATTGTGTGTATTTAGGCAGCATCTTTTCATTCATACATGTTTCATTAAATAATATAGACAAGTGTTGTCTATTTATTTTATGTAAATTTTTTTTATAACGTCTGATAAGTTTAATAACATTATCGATATTGTGAATTTCTTTCTTCGTCCAACGATAATGTTATTAAACTTATCAGACGTTATGAAAAAAATTACATAAAATAAATAGACCACACTTGTCTATATTATTTAATGAAACGTGTGTGTATATATATATATTCAAGTTTGTTTTATTGAATAATATAGACATATTATGTCTATTTATTTATTTTTATAATAATCCTTTCTAATTCACTAATTAGCCTATTGATTTTAACTTGTAATTCAACAAAGAAAGTGCCGTAGTTCTTGTTAACCCAAATACTTTTGAATCTCCTCGGCGATCATCTCCAGGGATGAATTGTGAAGATAAACTTAATGTAACATGTATGTGCTCTGTTATAATTAAAAACACATTCCTGTCCACATTCACAATACATAAATACTAACTGACAAAACCAATATACTACACCATGAAAATAATAAACAAAAAACATATTCTCGAAGCCCTCTATATCAAAATCAACCAACCAAAACTGAACAGAATGTTGTAGCATTGTTTTAAAATGTATTTAACATTTAATGCCATTCATTATTAAATGAAGAGAGAAACATAACGTGTTGATATTTATTATTTTATTCCGAGTAACTTCGACATTAGCACAATGTCATCCTTGTGGTGTTGTTTATTTCAAGACAAATATTATCAACACCCTGATGAGGATATTGTGCTAATGTCGAAAGTACTCGGAATAAAATAATATGTATCAACACGGTAATTTTCTCTCTTCCTTTAAAAATGACACCACCAAAAACCTTGTTCGTGAATATGAAGGGTTCCAATTCAAAATAAGTAGACAAAATTGTCTAAATTATTCAATGAAGCATGTCTCTATGAAAACATGCTGTCAAAATATACGCAATATATATATATATACATATATATCATTCACAGACAGTACTGTTTCGCAGCTCCTCAGTGCGACTAGACCACCGCATTCCACAAGCTCGGATCGAGATTTGGTGTTAGTCAGAGCTTCTACCACTGAGCCATCTTCATTCGACAGAACAAATCAGCCAAATCTAGTGTCATTATAAGTAGTTTTAAGGTATGTTATATTTATGTGTTAAATTGCTCACTATCAGGGATAGAGCGTATGATGCAAATATAAAAGGGGGCATTGAAGTCAACACCCAGAATCGACAGTCTGTTTCATGCTAAGCACAATCGTCAGGCCATGTGCAAAAGCACTTACGCAGCAATGTAGTTGATGAATTATTCTTCACCCTGCAACCCTTATTTCACAAACGTCATCAACCTTTCGTTAGTATATCGCTATTACTATGGCAGATGTTCGGATGAATTTCATTCCTTAGCTCCACCAGTTCAGACCTTCACAGTCGAGGATCCACCATGCTGTGTTCACGGTGGCAAACCATACACATTCCCTTCGAGTTCCTTTTATATAAAAAACAGGTTCCACTCAGACAACTTCTTTCCCAGAACTGTTATTTTGTGAAACTTCCGAGAGAATGCTTCCAAGACAACTGCAATATTGCTCTGTTTAATTCCAAGATCAATCGATATCTATCCTACCTGTCCTCATAATACTCTCTTACTTCCCCCTATTTTACAATCTCACTCAGTAACGCTCTACCTTGAGTGGCTCTTGGGTCATGTATTGAGTGAACTAACAGTAAAAAAATTACACGTTTTTTTCTTGAATATGCCTTGCTGAAATGAAGGTGTGTCTTACACATCGGTGAGTCTTATGTAGAATTAATGACAACACATTTTATAACAAAATGACCAAAAATGCATTTTATCTATAGTTGAAGGCATACAGTTGTGTTCAAAATATATTTAGTTGCAGCCATAAAATTGCGTTCAAATTATTTAGATTTTGGCGTTAAATGTCCCATAGAAGTGTTGATATGCCGCAAAACAAAATCAACCAACCAATGACTAATCGTACTAGGATATTGTATGAGTACAAATAAATAAATAAATAAAAATCGCGTGTATAGCGACTAAAAGGTCGTAACGAGAAAATGACGTAACAAGAGAATTCATCCCGAACAGTATAGAACGCCTTGTCAAAGATCTTTCGGACAAAAATCCATTTTCGTTCTCTTTTATTCCAGGTATGTGAGTGGGTATTGAATTTTGGGATTGTACAAGCTGTTTGGATTCGTTTTCATTGGAAATAATCCTCTGGAAGATTTCCAAGTTCCGGAAACACCCGTGATGACTTTCGGATTTGGCATTAAGTAGGTAAGTAGATAGACGGAAACTTCTTCAATCCAAATTCACTGAAAAGTCTTGCAAATGTCATCAGTAGTACAATTTTATTTATTTCGCTTTATTATTACTATTTTATTTTATTTTTTTGCATTGTATTTCATCGGGAAATTTTTTGTTATTATGATTTAAGTGATTGATCTGATTTCTTTACGGTTTATCGACGTTTTGCGGGTTATTTAAAAACAGAAAATATTTGGGGATAGTAAGAATGATTTGAATATAATAATGATTTGCTGATACAAATCCTACAATTTAACCAGTTTCTGGGAAAGGGAAAAGATGAATTAATCCCTTCCGCAATGGTTTTTTGTGCGTAAATGACTATAACGAACCCGACTGGAATTGGAACTTTTGTCTCTTTTGTTATCTCGCTTAATCCCTGTTCTCCAATCAATTTACACAAGTTCGTTAGGTAGATTATACTCTGTTTTCCTCTGTACCCTCTTCCCTCCAATATGCCATGTGAATGTTAAACATTTTAAGCCCCCTTTCCTCGTTAAGTGCTCTATAAATTTCAGCTCTTTCTAATGTTAAATATAAGCGTCCTTACCTCTAAAAATCCGTCGTTGTCATCTCCCATGTTCCATTCATGGTATTCTCAGTATCCTTCTGTAGAACCACATTTCTATCACTTCAAGTTTTTTCTTCGTTTACGCGGGGATGGTCCAGCATTCACTGCCACAGGGGAGGACTGAGTTCACAGAAAAGTTCAGTAATCTTGTTTAGCTGCCGAAAAACGCGAGGCCAACCGGAAATAAAAAAAAAATGGCGCATTTTACGCATGAAAATTAAACAGTACAAAATAATCGGGAACAAAGCTTTATTGAGTGATCACTTCGTTTTCTACGGTTTGCCAACCTTTTGCATGATATTTAAAGCCAGAAAATATTTTTAGATTGCTAGAATTTTGTGGGGAGATAATAATGGTTTAGGGACTTACTAATTAACCCATAGCTGGGGAGAGAAGAGGTGAATTTCTACCTTTCCCAAAAGTTTTTGCGCTGAAGTGAATATAACGGACCCAACGTGAATTAGAACTCGGCTCTCCAATTAACAATTCCGAACCATTATCAATTAAACCACCCGCACGTCCAACCTTACAGCACCTGGAATTCCCAAGCAACAGGTATTTCGACGTGATGTGGCCATAAGACATACTGCCTGTACATCCAAACTTAGAGCACCTGGTATTCCCAAGCGGTCACCCATCTTGGTACCGACCAGGGTGGACGTTGCTTAACTTTGGTGATCGTACGGGAAGCGGTGTTTCAACGTGATGTGGCCGTAAGCAATACCGCCTGTACATCCAAACTTACAGCACCTGTTATTCCCAAGCGGTCACCCATCTTGGTACCGACCAGGGTGGACGTTGCTTAACTTTGGTGATCGTACGAGAACCGGTGTTTTCAATGTGATGTGGCCGTAAGCAATACCGCCTGTACATCGAAACTTGCAGCACCTGGTATTCCCAAGCGGTCACCCATATTGGTACCGACCAGGGTGGACGTTGCTTAACTTTGGTGATCGTACGGGAAGCGGTGTTTCAACGTGATGTGGCCGTAAGCAATACCGCCTGTACATCCAAACTTACAGCACCTGTTATTCCCAAGCGGTCACCCATCTTGGTACCGACCAGGGTGGACGTTGCTTAACTTTGGTGATCGTACGGGAACCGGTGTTTCAACGTGATGTGGCCGTAAGCAATACCGCCTGTACATCGAAACTTGCAGCACCTGGTATTCCTAAGCGGTCACCCATCTTGGTACCGACCAGGCTCGATGTTGCTTAACTTAAGTAACCGACGTTTCCACTTCATGCGGCCGTAAGCCTCGAATAATCGAGGATGTGCTCTATGTAACCAAGAAAGTAAGTATATAAATATAATGAAGTTATAATTGCTTGAAAATTAAACTAAATTTTTATCAGTTAATCTAGGATAATTTAACCAGATCTTTTTTTTTTTTTCAGTCTTGAAGAAAATGAAGGAAATTATCGATTCGTATACAGTGTATATCGGCTTTTATTCCCCAACAGACAAATTGTCTTAAAGTTCTATTTAAACAACTGCTATATTTAAACAGGTTAATAATTAATAAAGAAAAGGAGACAAATGAATAGTGAGGTGGTTGGCAACTGTCAAATAAACCTTTCCGTTAAAAAGGGGAAGCTTTTTAATATAGCGATCGCATAGAAATATGCGCCTTCGTTAGAAGGCAAAGAAGAAATTTTTATGAAAATATACTTACTGAACGATGATCTATATAAAAAAAGAATTATATATTAACTTAAAAAATAATAAATAAAAAATGCTGAATATCAGAATAAATAGTAAGTGTCATTGCCTGCCAACACTGTGGTTTGAAACTAGATCGCCAGTGATATGAATTGGAACGATTATATCGAGTCAGTTGCTAAGTTTTCTGCTCAGAAAGTTGGTTCACTATGTCGTGCTAGATACTAATGGTAACTGATTGATGAAAACTTAAGAAAAGGTTACCACGGAAAAAGGACAATAAAAGAACAGGAATCAAGCACATGGGAAATGACAATTGACGTTGCATTGTTCTCCCAATGTTTGAGTATCGTAGTTGACAGGAAAGCAAGAATCTGAAACAGACTTCCACAAGCGAGAATTACGAGAGGAGAAAAAAATTAGAATAGAATTTACGCTTACACTTTGCAATTGCAACAAGTAAAAAAAATGAGACCGAAGAGCCAATCTAGTACCATGCTTAAATTCAGGAAGTCGAGGTATCCAAAGAGGGAAGCCAAAGCAGAACAATTGCCATGAAAAGATTTATAGAAAAGAAGCGACTGTTACGGCGGTGGGAAAGTGATTGAAACCGAGATGCCAGGTCAGAATTGATGACATTACAGATTCTTATTTGGATATTGCCAAGAATCTCTAGATACATAGCAGCTGTACTAGATCATTTGTAGTAATGCGCGGATCTTTCTGCTTTCACGGTCCAATAGAATTTGGATTATGAAAATTGATTTTCTTGTCCTACCGTAGAAAGAAATGGCAACCTACTGCAGGAATAAAAAAAATCTGCCTTGTCAGTCACGTATCGAAAGATACATGATTGCCTAAGCGTGTATCACGTATGGCACATAACTGACTGATCTTAGATAAAGGCAATTGTCTGCACTAAGGGGTGCAATCATGTTTTGTGGCCTGTTTTTAAGAGAGACTATCTAGAAATAGTCATAGGTTTGAAAAGTATAGTGTATCATTAAATAAGACTTCTTTATTCTTCCTCTGTTTCCTGCTTAATCTTGCTATGAGATCTATTAGAATCCTAACTATTAGTTTTCTTATGTGGCTCCTTAAGCTGATTGTTCGATAAAATTCGCATTCGTTCGCCTCTCATTACTTTGGCAGCCTTAAAACGATTGATACACTGAGGTTTTCCAGTGTTTCACCACTGTCGTATATTTCGTTTATCACTTCGGGTAAACTTATCGATTTGCAAATAATCTAAAGCTGTCAGCATATATATTAAAATAACATCTCGTTCTACCCTTTTGTTTCGCTTCATCTTGGCCAATACTGACATAACCACAGACTTTAATATTATTGATCCTAACCTGTTTTTATGTACTGTGGTTTTCTTTCGTTTATTATACTGATGTATTCGTTATATCTCTAAAAAAAAAAATTTTTTTCCCAGGCTGATTTTCCCTCCTTAAATTGTGTACCTCTTGCCGAAGAGCATTTTTTATTTTGCTATTTGTCTCATCTTTTTCAGCGAGAATACTTCGAAAAGTGTTGAATATAGACCAGTGTTTCTCACCCTTTTCTTCCACGTAATCCTTTTTTGGTACCCCCCGCCAAAAAAAATTCATGCCCACAGAAGCACAAATAGAAATATGATGTAACAAGAAATACCTTTTATTTACAACAGCAAAATGTAGTTTAAAATATAAATCCTGACTAATGGCTCCATTGTTCCTTGTGTTTATCTATCAGCTTATCGTTGAACTTCTAAGCCATTGGTTTAGGTTCAGACCTACATCTCGCTACTTAATTTATTATAACAAGAAAATATGGAATATTTTATTTAAATAATTTCTGAATTATTTGCATTTAAAAATAAGATAAAACAGTTAAATTTCTAATTCTGACACGAACTCAGTCCACGCCGGGATTGATAAGACAGACGGCCGATATCTTCGTCTGCCAAAATAGGTATATTTATTGTTTTATTTCACTCCAACCAAGGCAATAAAGCGACTGAGACACAAGGGGTTGATTGAATGTAAGAGAAATTGAGAAAAAAAAACACTATTAAGAGAACGATAAAAGAACAAGAATTAAGAATTATTTTAAGACATTTTTATGTTTATACATTCTTTTTATAGATACAAATATTTAAGTAAATGCTCTGTTTATAATAAACAGTATTAACGACATTTACTGGCCTGAATGTCCGAGAAAGTTTCATAGAAAATATTCGTCCCCTGACAGGAAACGCTCCTTTGTGGCTAAATCGATAAAGCACGTCAGAATATATGACGGTTCCGTATAGGATACAGGTTCGATTCCTGTCGGAGAACGCATATTTTCTATGAAAATTTCTCGAACATTCAGGTAGGTAAACAGAGCATTTACTTAAATATTTGTACCTATAAAAAGAACGTGTAAACATAAAAAAAATGTCTTTATATTTGTACACATATTTCTAAATGCCTCTGCAACAGTAGCATCTTTTGGGAGTTCATGCAATAAATAATGGCGAACGTTTTACTTGTTACAATTCTAATCCATGAAGAGGCTAAACTCTGAAGTGCATTCTAGGCCAGTGTTTGCCAATTTTTTTTTACCTTGTAGCCCATTTGTGGAGTCAAAAAATTCAGGCCCACAGAAGCACAAATAGAAATATGATGTAACAAGAAATAACTTTTATTTACAAAAGCAAAATGTAGTTTAAAATATAAATCCTGACTAATGACTCCATTGTTCCTGGTGTTTATCTATCAGCTTATCTTTGAACTTCTAAGCCATTGGTTTACGTTCAGACTTACATCTCGATACTTAATTTATTATAAGAAGAAAACATGGAATATTTTATTTAAATAATTTCTGAATTATTTGCATTTAAAAATAAGATAAAGCAGTTTCTGTTATCATAATTTTATGCCAGTGGGAAAATAGCATTTCAAAGCACACCTGTTTTCCTTGGGTCAACTCCAGGCCCATTTTAAAAATTTCTCAGCCTGAGGATCCACATTGAGAGTCAAACGGTAAACGAAAATATATTTATAACCAAAACCAATCAAAGTACTTGAGCAATTAAAAAAAAAGTGTTTATTTGAGGTATCTACTTTCACAGCATGGTTGTTTTCGAAGGAAGATAATCTAAATCCGAGATAGAAAGCAATAAATATTTCTTTCGGCATGTCAGCACTGGACTGAAAAATTTATTGGACGACGTATCATGTTTAAAGGTCACTTATTGAAATAGTTTTTGCAAGTATTTTTTAAGTTAATATATAATTCTTTTTTTTTTTTTATAGATCATCGTTCTGTAAGTATATTTTTTACCTTTCCGCGGACGAAAGAAAAAGATCAGTTTCATAAATGAATATATATACATACATACATAAGGACATCAAAGATTGTGTTCAAGCGTGAAACAGACTGTTACCGCTCGGTGTTAACCTTAGTGCTCACTTTTATATCTACATAGATTCTATCCTAACACAGAACACTTTTTTGACCATTAATATAGAAAACCTTAAAAGTATATATTAATAATAAATATATCTTTCTTTCCTCACCAGTAGCACAACTCTGAGCTTTATGCTCAACGCAATTTTCAGTTACTGAGCATTAATTCAGTACCTGATGATTGCATTTAACTCAGTTTAACTCAGCAGCTGAAGATCGCGTTGTGCTACTGGTGAAGAAAAAAACGTATATTTATTATTAATATATAATTTTATAGCTCTGTTATTTTACACCGAGCATTGTTTTATCAACAATTTTTAATAATTTTCGAGATTATTCAATTTGCCTATAAAAATAACCAGATAAAAAATTTATTGCATGTGTGTAATGTAAAATGAATCCTATTTTTGTAAATAAAACTTCTGATTGGTTTGCTTTTTTTTGTTTTACGGCATATCAACCTCAATGGGTTATTTAATGCCAACAAAATTTTTATTGGTGGTAATTTTTTTTCTTCAAAAAAGTATTGCTGGTATAATTTTTTTTCAAAAATGTATTGTTGGTAATAATTTATTTACAAAGTATTTTTGGTATTAAGACTTATTTTTACACTTTATTACAAGTTGCATGGATTAACACTTTTCACACTTTTCACACTTTTCACACATTTCACACTTTTCTTTTTTACCATTTATTTATGGGTATTTTAAATATATCACTTAAAAAATATAGTCCCACCAAATAGTATGGAC